ACAGACACAGCTCACATGGGCACACTTTGCGTATACGTCTTTCAGTCCATACACAGACACAGCTCACATGGGCACACTTTAAGACGGTGATGCAGTCTCTCAGCGTGGGTCATAGTCAGCCTCTGTGTAGTCTCTTCAACATGAAAGACTCAGGGGAAAAGCTAAAAGAAAGTTGTTTTTTATTTTTGAGAAGCCAGGCAAATGAATTTAAAACTAAGAAGAAAGGGGAGGAAGGTGATTAGCATAAGGTGACCAGATTTTAACACTGGTAACGCGGGACCACCATGAATAAAACCCATATCCTGGCAAAATAGCCACCTGGCAGCCGAAAACCGTCTACCCTAGCTTGTCGTGAATTCTTTCCAAAAATCGGGACTTTTTTAAAATGCCGCAGGACGCGGGAAAAATTGTTAAAAATCGGACGTTTGGTCATTTTAGATTAGCAGCGTGTACAAAGCACATCTCTCTCTCTCTCTCATACACACACACACACACACACACACACAAATTCAGTCCCTCAGCTACACTTTCTACTGCTGTTGAGATGTGGAGCTGGACCAGGCAGGCATCACAGTATACATGACAAAGAACACTTACTGCATATCCCAGCACAGCCAGACAGTAGAGAAGTGTCCCCATCCTAGCTTCCTAATAACATGGTATCGACCATTGAAGAGGTCTCCAATTTTCACTGGATGATAGCCACCTTTTAAGAAGAACATACAAATTAAAATGCAAACTGTCAAATAAATAGTAATAGTACTTATTACTTAATTCAAGATGTCAATAAAAATTATAATTAAACTAAAACATGCTCAATAATATAACACCTCTTCCCCTGGAATATCTTTCATTGGTAGGTAAATATTCTATGCTTCTCTATCATGATTGTTGTTTGATTTTATTTAAAGCAACAAACCATCAAGTACTACGTAAAAATCACTTTTTAAAAATTTAAACCTAGGGGTACACAATATACAAACACTAGCTCTTTATAGTACAAACAACCTATCTTTATTCCAAGCAATAAGTCAAACTCAAGTATTTGGAGATCTATTAAAACATAACCCTAGCAAAATAAAGATGTGCACAGTTCTCATACACCAGTAGCTTGTGTGTAACCAGTGAAGGCTTGTACCATACATGACTCAGTGCTCTCCTCCAGCCGAGCATGGTCCTCCCTGCTCTCCCTCCAACCTCAAATTCCTGTCTGGTGACCTCCCTGAGAGGGCAACAAATGTACAAATGTGCCTGACACAATGGATGGCTGGCTGGCTGGACTGTGATAAGAGTTTTATGAGCCCCCGATAAAATGATTTTAAAACAGAGAAAGAAATGAAGAAACCAGCTGAAGGGGCAGAGGGGACACTCTTCAACATAGACGCTGTGGGAAGTAAAGCCCTTTTCATGACATCAGGCCTAGAGTGGGTTTTTTATCTCTTTGCACTGTTAAGTGAAAGAAGCAACTACAAAACAACATGTGTGATATTATAGCAGCTTTTGGATATGCAAAAAGAAAAACCACAATGTGCTCCTCCAGATGTAAATTTTTTTGTACTTTTTATCTAGAGTTGATTCTTTTTTTGGTATATTTTCCATTTATGTTTTAATTTATTGTCTCAGTTTATTCTAAAAAAAAACAATGTTTCTACTTTTTCTTACATTGGAAACAAATTTTCTTTGAATATGTAATACTGTTAAATTGCAAAACTATTATTTCCCATTTGTTAAGTATAAAGAACATTTACAATCTGCTCCACAAAGAAGCCAGATTATGCCTCATTTGGGACGCCTAGGCAGGGGCAGGCATTCTCCTAAATGCCTCCTTCGTCAGGGTGTGTGACCCCAAAGGCGTCAGCAGCACTGTGCGAGCTCCTATGCCCATCGATAACACTGTACTGTGCTGCCTCACTGACGCCCAAGCACCACTTCCTAAGACTCCTCTCCTCATCGATCACCCATGCACTTGCTTTTCCTGAGTATCAATCTTACTATCGATGATCAAAACGTTAACAAAAGACAGCAATGTTAGGGATAAAACCAAGCCCGTCCCCCAAGCTTATTATTCAATTCAATGATTAAATTAAAATTATTTAAAATAAATGGGCTGAGTTCAGTACAGATTTTAAAGCCATTAAAATTAGTACTGAAAATGAAAAAAAGAAAATGGACACTTTTCAAATACATATTAGGAGTGCTGTGCTAGCGACTGAATTTTGAATAATGTGCTCCATGAAGCAGAGGTAAATATTGCAGGGCTCCATTGTGGGAGGGAGGAGAAAGAGAGGAGCGTTCTTGTGGAAAATGCAAAGTGCTTGACTAGAGCCATAGAGTCTAATGTCTTCACACATGGTGTGAACCACCAAGAAAAGAACTGTGCCTGCTGCAACTTTCAGACAGAAAACCCATTCCCGTCGTGTCCACTTGGACCCACAGCAAACCCACAGGAAAGAGGAGAACTACTCTTCAGGGTTTCCGGGACAGTAAGTTTTGATGGGAGCTGATAGCCTCATCATTCTCTTGGCCAGACAAATGACACTACTAAAAAATCAGTCACTTTGCACTGACATGTTACCTTATTTATTTCTTACAACTATTCTGAAAAATATATGGTACTATTTCTACACTGCTAATGAGGGCTCCCAGGCTAAACGATTAAGTATGTTGAGAGCTAAGAATTCTCATTCCAAAGTCCATGCTTTACCCACTATTAAAGAAATGTACTCCATTTTTAATAACTGTGGGGCTGTTTCCTGGGATTGCTTAAACACAAAGCAAAACAAGAAAATACTATGTCCTTCTTATAGCCCTTCTAAATTAACGTCTTCCAAATTTACAAATAAGGGTACAATGAACAGCTCAATCAAAAGCTACTTAGTACTTAATTATATTTTCTTGCTAAATTAAAGTCTGTAAATATGAAAAGTGAAATAATTTATGTATAAAGAGGATGAAACGTGCAACGTGACTAGGCATTCTGCTACAGATCAGTAAGATGTGAGCAAATTCAAAGTAGCACTACTTCTCATATCATAAGTGTAGTGGTTCCTTTTTCTCAAAGGGGCCCCAATCCCAACGTAGCAGCCGCTCCTCCCCACAGAATTTACTTCACAGGACAGCACTGAAGCTACAGTTCATGGAGAGGGACATGTCTGATCGGAGCACACAAAAGCAAATGAAGGGAGAGGAAGAGAGTGGAGCACATCCTAACCCACCAAGCCTTGAGGACGATATCCCTGCTCAGAGCAGCCAATGCACAGAGAGGACTCCCACTATGAGACACAACATCCCTCACTGACTCATAGCCCTATGGGGGACAACACTGGAGACACAGTGTGGGAACTGCGCCCCATCTGACCTCACCACACCAAGGCACAACGCTAAGGGTGTGCAAAAGAACAGCAAGGAAGTCTGGAGGGGATACCAAAAATAGACTTTGAGGCCAGGTGATGGCACCCCATCAGACTCACTGGAAAACACTCTTAAAGGTCAACAAACAGACCTTGAACTATTTACACTCGTCTTTTGTCATTGTTTTTGTAGTTTTGTTTTCTTTTGTTGGTTTTGCTCTGCCTTGTTTTTGTGCATATTATAATCTCTGCAGGTCTATCTAGATAAGATAGGGGATAAACAATATGTAGGAGAAAACAACGGGCTGATGATTCCCTGGGGCCATTGGAGAGGCGTAGGTGGGGGAAAGGAAGTGGTGCTAACAAACTCAGGGACAAGGTAACAAGTGGTTGAAAATTGGTGGCAAGGAGGGTAAGGGTAAGAGGCCTGGTAGGGCTTGGTTAAGGGCAATGTAACCAAGAGGACTTACTGAAACCCAAACAAAGGCTGAGCATGATAGTGGGACAAGAGGAAAGTAAAAGGAAATACAGGAAAGAACTATGTCACATATGCAAATGTATTTACATATGAAGATGGGGAAATAGATCTATGTGTGCATATTTATAGGTTCAGTATTAAGGTCGCTGTGGGTCAGGTCGGAACTAGGCAGCCCCCGTTTGGACTAAACTGAAGCAGGTTCGGGCCCTGCACGTCCCAGAGGTCAGCAGCAGTTGGTACCAGAGAAGATAACTGGTGAAACCTGATGTTCCCGGTTCAAAGAAAGCCTCCAGGAGTCCACAAGCAATTCTCCCAGTTTCCAGACCCCATATGCTAATTGCCATACATTCCTCACCACTCCTTTAAAAACCCTCCCCGCCAACTGCTGAGCTTCCTGGACCAGTTGGCCTAGGTCACGGAACCTCATCCGGGAGCTCCCCTAGCCCCTAATAAAGCTATTTCTGTTTCTGCTCTTCCTTGTCCTGTCAGTTATGTCTGTCTTCCTCCCTGTTCCTCAGTTCCGCCTTTACAGTCGCACACAGGCATTGGGCCTCCACTAAGTACTCCCTCAATGCAAGAACACTTTGTTCTATTAAACTGGCATCCCATGATGTTCACCTTCCAGACACGATCGTTGAAGACAAAGCGGGTGCATAAACAAATGTGGTCAAGAAAGCTGATGGAGCCCGGCTATCAAAAGATATAACATCTGGGGTCTTAAAGGCTTGAAGATAAACAAGTGGCCATCTAGCTCAGAAGCAACAAAGCCCA